ACATCTTTGTCTTTTGGTCAGTTACAAGGATGCGCTGTGGCATTCTGGAAGTAGGCTTTCCTACCACATGATTGGGGCTGATCCCTCTGGTTTCCCAGTGCTCCTTGCTTTGGACTCCCAACCAGCCCCGTCTCACTTTTGTTAGGGGCACTCTCTTGCAGAAATTCTTGTACAGACGTTAGGGGTGATTCCAGCTGCAGCTATAACTAGGAAGAATCATTGCTACATGAAGAAAATAGCAGGAAGAGGTATCCAAGATCATAAAAGCAAGCACGATAACACATTCATGATGGCTTTTACATGTTGATTCTTAATTGCAGATTCCTTCCTAGTAAAAATCAAATCACTCTGTGTCATATTCCCTTCTCCATACAAATGCCCACCTCTTCCTTCTGGTGCAATTTCTGCTCCTTGATTTACATTCTTCCTCTCTGGAGGCATGAGGACCTGGGGAAAAAAGGTCTTTCATATTACATTTCAAAAATTACCGCCCATCTTCAACACCTACCTGCTAATATATCAGAAGACTTCAGATGCCATCGTCATCAGGGCATTGGCAAGGTATGCATCCTAACACTGCTGCCACGCAGAACCACTGTCCCCATCCCTCCACCCACCTTCCCTCAGACAGGAGCTGTATATAACACCACCATTTGGGGATAAGCACTCAGCTCTGGGAAAAGGTGGAGGTCAAGTGAGGCCCGGAGCTCTGAGCTTCTCTGAGAATCCAGCTCAGAGTGTGGGAAGGAGAGGGAGATAACAAGACCAATAGCATTTTATTATAGAAATATTTGCCACTTCATTTCTACCCGATTTAATTTTTATTTTATGATAGAGACAAGGAAGCACCAATGCAAAGAAAAAACACATTCTGTAATTTTTAATGGAAATGTCTAAAACACTTCTGGAAACATCAGAACCAAGATTTTTAAACTTTGTATTGACTTTTATTCTGTTTGAAAGGCTGAGGCACACATAGACCAACAGAGATCTTCCATGGGATATTTCACTCCCCAAGTGCTCACAACAACTAGGGCTGGACCAAGCCACATCAAGAACAGAAAAATCAGTTTGGGCCCGGCATGGCCTAGCGGCTAAAGTCCTCACCTTGATCGCACCGGGATCCCATAAGGGTGCTGGTTCTAATCCTGGCAGCTCCACTTCCCCTCCAGCTCCCTTCTTTTGACCTGGGAAAGCAGTCAAGGATGGCCCAGAGCTTTGGGACCCTGCACCTGTGTGGGATACCTGGAAGAGTTTCCTGGTTGCCGGCTTTGGATTGTCTTAGCACCGGCCGTCGCACTTATTTAGGGAGTGAATCATCGGATGGAAGATCTTCCTCTCTGTCTCTCCTCCTTTCTGTACATTTGCCTATACAATAAAAATGAATAAATCCTTACAAACATTCAGTTTAGACCAGTGACGGTCCTGAGACCCAAGTACTTGACCAATAATTTACTGCCTCCCAAAGTTTACATTAGCAGGAAGCTGGACTTCGAAGCAGAGCCAAGAGTCAAACCCAAACACAACAATATGGGATTCAGGGATCCCAAGAAGGGATATAGCAAGGAGACAGGGCAATGGAGGAGAGGGAGGAAGCCCTGTGCCTACAAAAGTGTAATATGAAAAATATGAATTTAAAAAATGTGCATTATGACAAAATTGGAAATCAATCTCATTCATACTGAATCAAAAACATTTTAAAAGTCATTAACTGAAACATGTGAACCCTAAACTATAAAGCACTAAAGAAACTGAAGAAACAAAATGAACTGAATCAAGAAAAAGGACTTCTCTACCATGAAGGAAATAGCCGAGAGAGTAAAGAGAAATCAACAAGTTGGAAGCAAATACTGCACGCTATTTATTAATTCAGATGGCCAACAGGCATATGCAAAAGTCTTCAAAATTGGTAATGCCGAGAGAAATGAAGATCAACAATATGATAAGTTGTCACCTCATCTCAATCAGAATGATTACTGTTAATAAAAAAAGGTAGTGGACCAATCTGAAAGCATGATCCAGGAGCTTCTTCCAGGTCTCTCATGCGCGTGCAGGTCCCAAGGCTTTGGGCTATCCTCGACTACTATCCCAGGACAAAATCAGGGACCTGGAAGGAAGTGTATCAGTGAAAATATGAACCTGTGCCCACATAGGATTCCTGTTATGCAAGGTGAGGACTAGGCCACTGCTTCAGGTCTGGGTTTTACACTTTTTGAGCTTAGACCAATATATTTTTTTTTAAAGATTTATTTATTTATTGGTAAGTCAGATATACAGAGGTGATTCACTCCCCAAGTGAGCACAATGGCTGATGCTATGCCAATCCGAAGCCAGGATCCAGAAACTTATCCGGGTATCCCATACGGGTGCAGGGTCCCAAAGCTTTGGGCCATCCCCAACTGCTTTCCCAGGTCAACAGCAGGGAGCTGGATGGGAAGTGGAGCTGCTGGGATTAGAACCAGCACCCATATTGGATCCCGGGGTGTTGTTTTGAGATGTTTGCATCGCATATCAGAGTGCCCGAGTCTCAGTCCTCACAGTTCCAGTTCCTCCCTAACGCACATTCCCAAGGCAGCTCAACTAGTCAGATCCCTGCCATCCATGGCTGATGGAAGGTCTTGCGTTTCTGGACTTCACATAACATACACAAGAATTGTATAAAATGAATGGACTGTGTGATTAAACTAAACGTTGAGGTGTTAGTATTGTTCTTTCCGTTAGCTTATAAATATATTTTATTTACTTGAAATGCAGCGTTAGAGAGAGAGAGAGACTTAGTTCTTCCATCTGCTGGTTTACCACACAATGGCCATCTCCATCAGGGCTGTATCAAGACAAAACAAAGAGCCAGAAAATTCTTTTGGTTCTCCCACACAGGTGGTTGGGTCCAAAACTGTTGGAACATCTTTTTTGCTCTCCTTGTCAACTAGCAGCGTGCTGGCTTGTAGGTGAAATAGCTGGGAAGCACATTGGCACCCATATATTTTGCAGGCATTAGAGCCATTGACTTTACTTGATGTGGCCACATGCTTGTCCCTGCAGGTCCTAATTTTCAAGGAACCTACAATGTTACAGGCTTTTTACCGAGTTGAAAGGGAGAGAGAACAAAAAGAAGAGAAGAAGAAATGAGAGATAAATTTGTGAGTTGACTTCCCAATGTGTTCAACAGCTGAGGCAGGGTCAAACTAAAGCCAGGAGTCTGGAACCCTCTGGATCTGACATGCAGGCTGGTGTCTCTCAGGATACACATAGCAGAAGCTAGATTAGAAGAAGAACCAAGACTTAACCCACACACCTGAGCTGGGATGTGTGAGTCCCACATTGTATCTTGAAGCTATGTCAAATGCAACCCCATTGCTTTTAAATGTGCAAGAGACTCGGGTAGATTCTTCCTGATTTGCATATATATGCTTAAGCTGAGTGAATTTTATAGTGAACTTCACATAATCTTGACTAAATATAATCACACTCCCCATATAGCCCGCATCATTTTATGCCACCAATGAGGATAGCAGAATGTCAAAGGTGATGTTCTTAGCACATCAAGGTTCAGTTTTGTGTCGTCTCCAATGACTTAGAGACTCATTACAAGCTGCTTTTGTCTCTTCCTACACCAACTGGGTTTCAGGAACAATTCCCTTGGCCACGTGAACAAAGCTGGCAAGTCCAGGTTCCTGAAGCAACGCCTGGTCATTACTCCTCCATGCTGTTAATTAGCCATTGTTCTTTCGGGTTTTTGCATAAAAGCAGTAGCACAACCAGCAGCTCAGTGAATAAGAAACTCTAATAACCTGAAGATGCTATGTTCTGTGAACAGGTAGGTGGAAAGATGGAAAAAAATATACTTGGCCTTTTAAATTTAGTTTCAAAACATCCACCTAATAAATACCAAATCAGTTTTTGGATCTTTTCCACTCAGTTATAACATGGGGCAATAGATTGTGGAGAGACATAAATGATTAAATTTGACTTTTACCAGGTGGTGAAAGCATGTGTTGAGGTTGTTTTTTTTTTAATGTCTTTATTGTTATTTGAAAGGCAGAGCTGCAAAGAAGAGAGCCAGCTGGAGAGGTTCTTCTCTGTATGTACTAGTTCACTCCTCAAGTGGTTTCAATGCCTGAGCTGAGCTGAAGCAGCAGCGAGGGGCTCCTGCTGGGTCTCCCACATGGGTGCAAGGTCCCAAGGCTTTGGGCCATCCTCCGCTGCTTTCCCAGGCCACAAGTAGGAAGCTGGATGGAAAGTGAAGGAGCTGGGACACAAACTGCTGCTCATATGGATGTTGGCACTGCAACAGAGGACTAGCATGCCACTCTGACATCCCTGGAACTGTTTTGGTTTAATCATTATTCACTATACTTTTTTGGGGGTCACCTTCTATATACAAGACATTGTATTGGCAAAGTATGGGAACAAAAGCACAAAGGGATAGTTATCGATTAATATAGAGTTATGGAGGAAAACAAGCACGTAGCAAGAAGCAGATGAAATAAATTTAGGCAGAAAGGTGGACCAGGAGAAAGATATGACTGATGAAGTGTCATGTCATCTGAATATTAAACAATGACTGTTATCTTGAAAAATATACAGATTTTGATTTCTGGCTTGAGTAACACAACCAGAGTCGTGGGATTCTGCAGATTCTCCCATAGAAGTCGTGTTTCTCTGTCTGCCCTGTGCAAGTTGTTATTCCCCCAGAGAGCACCTAAGTCTCATGTATACAAACATTGGACATCCAATGCTGCTTGTTTGTGTTTTCTTCAGGTGCCTCATGGGAACTGATCCTCCAGACCTGGAACTATACATGTTGTTAGCAAGCCCATGTAGCAACTCATTAACGGTTACATATAGCTTTGGCATTAGTAGCCACACGAATGCTACTCATAGTTTGTGAAATGTTCAGGTAATATTTGACTTTCATGATTTAAGTACTTTTGCAAAGAGGAAATTGGCATAATGCTGTTTATTTGCATTCTCTCTCTCTTTATTTTCCTTTAGGTAACATGAGAGTGAATCTACCGCATGACTCAGTGAATGGAGAAAACCACTCAGTAGTGTCTGAATTTGTGCTCCTGGGACTGTCCAATTCTTGGGAGATTCAGATGTTTCTGTTTTGTTTTTCTAGCGTCTTGTATGTTTCCAGCTTGACAGGAAACCTCCTCATAGTCATCACTGTGTCCTCTGAGCCTTACTTGCACTCCCCCATGTATTTTCTGCTGGCCAATCTTTCTGTGATTGATTTGATATTTTGCTCCATTGCAACCCCCAAGATGATTTGTGATCTTTTCAAGAAGAAGAAAGTCATCTCGTTTGGGGGCTGTATGGCTCAAATCTTCTTCAGCCACGCTGTTGGGGGTGCTGAGATGGTGCTGCTCATAGCCATGGCCTTTGACCGCTACGTGGCCATCTGCAAGCCTCTGCACTATCTGACTATCATGAGCTCACGGCTGTGCACTTTGATATTAGTGCTTGCCTGGGTCATTGGTCTCGTCCACTCCTCCACCCAGTTGGTTTTTGTTGTAAATTTGCCCTTCTGTGGCCCTAATGTGTTAGATACCTTTTACTGTGACATTCCTCGCCTCATCAAACTTGCTTGCACAGACACCTTTAAACTGGAGCTCATGATCACTGCTAATAGTGGGTTCATTTCCTTAGGGGCTTTCCTCCTGCTTGTTCTCTCCTACATCTTCCTCCTGGCCACTCTTCAGAAACACTCCTCCGGAGGCTCATCCAAAACACTTTCCACTCTGTCGGCTCATATTACGGTGGTGATTTTATTCTTTGGCCCACTGATTTTTTTTTACATGTGGCCATCTCCCTCAACACATCTGGATAAATTTCTAGCCATGTTTGATGCAGTTTTGACTCCTTTTCTAAATCCAGTCATCTACACATTGAGAAACAGAGAGATGAAGAGAGCGATGAAGAGAGTATTCAGGCAGCTCGTGGGCCTTAGAAGAGTTACTTAAATGGCTTGAGTGAAATAGAGCTTCTGAGTGCCTCTTGGAAATGGATGATAGCCTCCTCTCACAGAGAACGGACTTTCTGTGAGCCAACACTGTGTTCATGGAATTTCATCACTTGTATGGTGTGTCTGTTGTTATGGAAGAATGGTGACAATCCTCCTTGAAGAGAAAGACAGATTTTAAAATCTAAAACACACAGAAATAAAAATTATATTAATTCTTGTCTTATTTTTCTGAAAGAACTGTGCCAACAATAGCATTTGCCTGTATTACATAGTTATGTCAATGCTTTTGTTCCTCAGGATAGCTATACTACTGTTTTTAAGCTGCCCTTCCTGTAGATGTGTACTTGTTAATCTCATGCTTTTTATCTGCTTGTATTCCTTATATCCTTTCTTGTTTTTTCTGCTTTGCTGTTTCAGTCTTTGAATTGTGAGCAAAGAAAGGAAATATTTGGCATCTGTGACCATTAAAGCGTTCTCTTTTGAAATTATTTTTAAAAGATTTATTTACTTATTTAGTTAATAGCAGAGTTGTAGGAGAGAAAGAGAGAGAGAGAATAAGAGAGAGAGAATGAGAATGGGGGGGGGGAGTTATTCCAATCTCCTCGTCATCTCTTGTCCCTTTGCAACAAAGCTACCAAATGTCCACAATTGCCTGGGTTGAGCTGAGCTGAGGAGAGGAGACAAGAACTTCTTTTGAATTACTCATATGTGTGGCAGGGGCTGAAGGACCTGGGCCATTTTTTGCTGCTTTACAAGCACATTAACATGGAGCAGCCAGGAGTCTAACCAGCATCAATCAACACAGTTTGAAGCCATTGCATGCTGTGGGTCTATTTCCTCTGCACAGCACTGGCCTCCCACTTATGCATTCTGATCCACAAATCTTGCTTTCCTGCTTTGCTTTGTATGTTGAGGGAACATTTTCCAACTTTATTTTAAATCAAGTAGATTTGATGTTGGCACTTGTCTTTCTCTGTGAAGAAAAGAGTTTGATCATTAATAATTTTGTCTGTGTAGGCCACAACCATGGCCTCCCTTGCAATCCCTTAATTCTGCTGTTTTATGGAAATAGCTGTAATCAGCACTTATTTCTGTTTAAATGTTTATAATTTGTTCCAAGTCAAAAAGCTACAGACTTCTCTTCCAGTTTTTTTATAATATGCATGCAAAAATTATTGTGATAATCACTCATCATGATGAGAACATTGGAACTTATGCCTCCTTTGGGTGTTGTGTGAGTCTTAGCCTCCTTCTATCCCTTCCTCAACTCTGCTTCTCAGTAATCAACATGAAATAGGACGTGTGCTTTGTGTGTGGGTGTGTGTGCCACACTTGTTTCACCTGACAGAAATACCTCCCGCTGCATGCAATTACTACAGCCCACAGGATTGCATGTGTTTTGTGGATGAGTTGGACTGTCTTATGTTTATTTACCATATTTTATTTCTTCTCCATTGAGGGACACATAGGTTGATTCTATATCTTTGTTATTATAAATAGTTCTGGAGTAAACATGAGACTACAGATATGATTTTCAATACACTAATTTCATTTCGCTTGACTGTGTATCCAATACTGGAGTTGCTGAATCTATATGTTAACTCTATTTTTATTTATTTATTAAAGCTTTACTTATTTTTTATTGGAAAGTCAGATATACAGAGAGTAAAAAAGACAGAGAGGAAGATCTTCCATCCACTGAATCACTCCCCAAGCAGCTGCAAAACCTGGAGATTACCCAATATGAAGCTAAGAGTTAGGAGCTTCTTCCTATCTCCCACATGTTGTCAGGCTCCCAAGGTTTTGGGAAATCCTTTACTGCTTTCTCAGGCAACAAGCAAGGAGCCGCAGGGACATGCACCAGTGCACGTATGGGATCCTGGTGCATGCAAGGCAAGGGCTTCCGCTTCGAGGCTACCGTCCTGAGACCAGTTCTATTTTTAAAGATTTATTTATTTATTGGAAAGTCAGATATACAGAGAGGAGGAGAGATAGAGGGGAAGATCTTCCGTCTGATGATTCACACCCCAAGTGAGCGCAACGGCCGATGCTATTCCAATCAGAAGCCAGTATCCGGGAACTTCTTTTGGGTTTCCAACACAGGTGCAGGGTCCCAAAGCTTTGGGCTGTCCTCGACTGCTTTCCCAGGTCACAAGCAGGAAGCTTGATGGGAAGTGGAGCTGCTGGGATTAGAACCGGCGCCCATATGGGATCCCGGCGGGTTCAAGGTGAGAACATTATCTGCTAGGCCATGCTGTTGTGCCGGGCAAAACAAGTTCTATTTTTAATGTTTGAAAACTTGCATACTGTTTTTCATATTGCCTGCAACCATTTGCATTGCTCTCAACATGGTTCCTAACTCTCCATATGCATACTACTTTTCTATTAATAGTAATCATTCTGATTGAGATAAGGTGACATCTTATCATAGGAACTGGAACTGTGAGGACTGAGACTCGGGCACTCTGATATGGGATGCAAACAACCCAAACCAACACCTTAACCACTGCACAAGACACCAGCCCGATCAGTCCCTTCCTATTAAAAGTGTAATGGTCCGGCCCAGAGGCATGGCCTAGTGGCCACACTCTGAGCTGGATTCTCAGAGAAGCTCAGAACTCTGGGCCTCACTTGACCTCCACCTTTTCCCAGAGCTGAGTGCTTATCCCCAAATGGTGGTGTTATATACAGCTTCTGTCTGAGGGAAGGTGGGTGGAGGGATGGGGACAGTGGTTCTGCGTGGCAGCAGTGTTAGGATGCATACCTTGCCAATGCCCTGATGACGATGGCATCTGAAGTCTTCTGATATATTAGCAGGTAGGTGTTGAAGATGGGTGGTAATTTTTGAAATGTAGTATGAAAGACCTTTTTTCCCCCAGGTCCTCATGCCTCCAGAGAGGAAGAATGTAAATCAAGGAGCAGAAATTGCACCAGAAGGAAGAGGTGGACATTTGTATGGAGAAGGGAATATGACACAGAGTGATTTGATTTTTACTAGGAAGGAATCTGCAATTAAGAATCAACATGTAAAAGCCATCATGAATGTGTTATCGTGCTTGCTTTTATGATCTTGGATACCTCTTCCTGCTATTTTCTTCATGTAGCAATGATTCCTCCCAGTTATAGCTGCAGCTGGAATCACCCCTAACGTCTGTACAAGAATTTCTGCAAGAGAGTGCCCCTAACAAAAGTGAGACGGGGCTGGTTGGGAGTCCAAAGCAAGGAGCACTGGGAAACCAGAGGGATCAGCCCCAATCATGTGGTAGGAAAGCCTACTTCCAGAATGCCACAGCGCATCCTTGTAACTGACCAAAAGACAAAGATGTTGTCCTCTACGGGTATGTCCACAGCGTCCTATGGAGTTTATAGCGTTGAAAGGAATTGGCTCAGGGCTAACCACATTTTCTTCCAGCTCGTTGAAAAGTATTCTAAGTAGTTAGATCTAAATGCCATGTCCTGGTTTGAGTTCAGTGCTACGGGGTGATACCTAGAGTTGGTTTTGTCACAGAGAAGACAGGGCACTCTGTGACTTTTGTTAAGACACAGATGGAAAGTGAGGGATCTGCAGGATGCCAAAGTCAGTTCATCTACAATTTGGTCAGACAATCTCAGTATGACCTCAGACATCAAACTTATGTTGTTGTGTTCCGTTCTGTTTATTGTATCAGAACATGGAGCTACCCTAAAATTCCAAGTCTTGAGTTCACGAACATTTTTGAATGTTCTGAATGATGCCAAACATATTTCAGTTAAGCATTTTCCAGGTTCTTGACATTCTCAAAGTTGTTCAGGAAGATGCCTTTTGTTTACAGAATTGTGCCATTCTGTAAATTTCATACAAATAATGCATGATTTTACTCATCCTCCCCCAATATTCATGAGGGTATTTTTAAATTTCTCATTTGTCATAATTTTTACTTATCCACGATCTTCATGATCTCTCCTCTGTTTGATTGCAACGTCTGTCTTTAATATTACAAATAATTGCTCAGCACTGAATACATGCTACTTTCTTGTTCTAATTGGATCTCTGCGTGGCATATGGAAGTAGAAAGTGTTTTTTCCTTCTTTGACATCGTTTTATTTGTGCTTCCTACTGCAGTGCATGGAAATGGGTTTTTAAAAGGCATAAATATATGTGAAAAAAGTAGGAATGCTAATATAAGATGATGAATAATATAGATTTATTTTTTAATGTATTTTTTAAGGTTTATTTCTTTTTATCGCAAAATCAGGTATATAGAGAAGTGGAGAAACAGAGAGGAAGATCTTCCATCCTATGGACTCACTGCTTAAGTGACATCAATGGCAAGAACTGAGCTGATCCAATGCCAGGAACCTGAAATTTTTTCCAGATCTCTTTTGCAATTCCAGGGTCCTAATGTTTTTGGCCGTCCTTAACTGTTTATCCAGGCCCAAATAGGGAGCTGGATGGGAAGCATGGCTGCCACCGGCACCCATATTGGATCCCAGCAGTTTTCAAGGCAAGGAATTTAGCCACTAGGCCACTGAGTCAATCCTGAAAGTGTATTTTTTTTCTTGTTCCTTTATCATTATATGTTTGATCAAAACCTCCCTAGGACTTTTAACTTTTAAATTACCCCTAAATTTTTTTGTATGCAACTATGATCTTAGACTTGATTCTCTTGCTGGCATTCACATCTGGTACGTAGTAATCCATTCTTATACTCACTAGCAACTACTCCTTTTCCGTCTAATTTGTCTGAATAACATATGGGTTATGTCTGGCTCTGTCACTTATTACAAGTGAAATCTTAAGTTTATTATGCATATGTTTGATGTCTATATGTGCAGGATGGAATCTTTTGCAAGTGAAATTATGTATTCATTTATGGCAAAAATATTAGTTTTTCATCATGAATAGGTAAATCAATTACTTTAACATAATTGAGGAGTCCTGGGTTTAGAATGAAAAATCCTGACTTTTGGTGTTGAGCTGCATATCTTTACAATTTTGGGTAAGATGCTAATTTCTGT